CATTGCTGACGAATCGGGAACCGGCGATCACTTCAACGGGGCCCGCCGCGAAGCTCAGCGCATTCATGGCGGCTGTCAGCTCCGCCTTCTGCGCTGTCTGGGATCCATCGACGGGCCCGCTGCAATCCTGCGCGCCGTCGGGGCCTTCAATCCGCATTCCCCAACCCGCCCTGGCCGGGAGTGGGTCCGTCGGCCGCTCGCAGGCGCCATCTGTCCAGGCGCGCCGCCGCGGCGGGCGCTGCTGCAGGTCGAGCTGAACAGCGGGCGTGCGGCGAGGGCATGATGGGCCCGCGAGCTGCCATGGCCAACGCGCTGAGGACAGGGCCCTCGGGAAAGACACCCGTGCGAGCGGAGCCGGGCGGCAGGACTGCGCAGAGGTCCTCGGGGCGAATCCAAGCACCTCGCAGGGCGGTCGCCCTCGCCTCCTGCCGGCACGGGCGCCGCCAGAAACGGTGGTCAGGATCTTCGTCGGCCGTCTGGCAGTGGGAGCACAACGTCGGTTTGCCCCACTTGGCCGCAACCGTTTGCGCGACGACGCCGCCTGCGAGCGCCGCGCGCAGTGCACCTGCCAGGTCTGGCGCGAGCTGCCCCTCCTCCAGCAACCTGCGGGTAGCCCAGCGGTCTACCCCGCCGGCGAGGTGCACCATGTCGCCGCGGCGGGCGGCAACCGGAGCTGCTTCGCGGCGGGTCCGAGCCGCCAGGAGCACGCCACGCGTGCCCTGCAATGCGGACTCTGCGGGGCGCCACCCCGCCGGCGCTGCCGGGGCGCCCGTTCAGCAGTCGACGTCGTGGCCAGATTGCAGCTCCGCAGGGCTACGCACGGCCGCCGCAATCGGCCCGTGCTGCCGCCCGTGCCCAGCCGCGACGCCGTCTGCGCTGCGGCTTCGGCGGCGCGCTAGGCCTTGTAGGCGGATGGCGTGTCGCTCCGTTCGGAGGGCGGGAGGCTTGGACAGGCTCGGGACGTTGACGTCTGGGGGCCAGGGCGTGGATAGCGTGTCGCGTCGACGGGTGGTGGGCCAAAAACGTCGGGGCGGCACGCGAACCAGAAGGCCCCGACCGCTTGTGTAGTCCTTCGTTGGAGGTCTCATCGGTTAGGTCGACGTCTGGACGACATCTGGACGAAAGGGTGCTGAGGGGTGGCCGAAGTCTGGTCGAAATCTGGTCGCAATCGCGGTCCTGATGGGGCCGCACGTGTCCACAGAGCGTCTTCTGATCTGCTACAGGCGTGCATGCGCGTATGCTCGTGGCGCCTCCCGTGGCCGCCGAGGCTCGAAAGTAGAAGTCGCCCGACACGCTGTAGAGCCAGGCAGAGGGGAACAAACTGCGCAAACACGGCTTGAGAGCTCTCAGGTTTCATTGTGCCATGGCCGTATGCCTACAGTCGAGCGTCAGGCTAAAGGACCTCCTCCCGAAAAGCAGGGCCGGCGGGTCTCAGCCAACTTGCCTGAGAGGCGGCCCTGGTTGTTTGAGCACCTCTCGCCCCAGCCAGCCTGCGCCGCAGAAGCTGGCCCAGGCCTGTTTTCGGAAGCCTCTGGAACGCTGGCCCAGACGTCTCGAAGGACCGGCTCCTTCGCCACATGTTCGGCTGCCAGGAAATCCTGGAAAATCCCAGGAGTTCTTCGGATTGGTTGCTGACGCTCGAAGCGGGGCGCCGAAAAAAACGGGGTCGGTGCCGGCGAGGCCCTGGGGGGGCCCCCCAGGAGGCTCCCGCGGGCGGAGGCCCCCTGGACGCCGCTGGAGGCCTGGAAGAGGGATGCGCAGCGCCAAGCCACCTCGACCCTTCACTTGCGACGACGACGACGACGACGACGACGACGACGACGACGACGACGACGACGACGACGACGACGACGACGACGACGACGACGATTTTTCCCTGCGAGCTACAGCGACACCCGGGCGCACCCCGAGACGCGCCGCAGTAACGACGACGACGGCGACGGCGACGGCGACAAAAGTCGCGCCACTGCGGCGCGTCCCGGGGTGCGCCCGGGTGTCGCTGTAGCACGAAGGGGAAAACATCGTCGTCGTCGTCGTCGTCGTCGTCGATCCCCCCCCCTTTTGGCAACGCCCGAGTTCCCGAGGCCGCCTCCCCGCCGGGGCCCGCGGTACGCGTATCTAGGCCTCCTGGATGGGGTCGGCGCAGAAGGGGTCGGAGGATCGCGCAGCATCGCCGATGCATCAGCGATGCGGCTCGATGTGGGGCCCGATTTTCTCCACGCTGGCGTCGCCGTTGCATCGCCGATGTCGCCGATGCATCGCTGATGCATCGATGATGCATCGCCGATGCATTGGCGATGCGGCGGGATCCTCCGACCCAATCTACTTGGACCCTATCCATGAGGCCTCTAACGTAAGAGTGACCCTTCGCCGGAGTGACCTCTGGTGCGGGCTCATCTGGGTCTCTGATCGCTGAGCGCGCTGCGAACGCGGCTGATTGCGCGCTTGGATTTGGCCCCCTTGCGCCCCCCTCGGTCCACACACCGAAGGTCATTCTTGCCTAGGGTCACCTTTGCGTGTAGCCGAACAAGGTACCGATCAGACTCAGAGGAAGTGTTCCTGCGCTTTCGAGCGACTTCGTCGTGCTCAGCCGGTTGCCTGCATCGGGATGGTGATCCAGCGGCCGAGAGCTTTCCGGGGGTATGCGTGGATCGTTCCGAATGGCCGCCGGAGGCCGAGTTATGCAGGGGCAACGATAGAGGGGGGCAGGCATTGGGGGGGGGGGATGCATCGACCCCCAATCGCCCATTGATCGCCGAGAGGGGTCTGATAGCCCCAACCCGCCTAGGAAGGTGCGGATTCACTGTCAGGGGCCCATCGCCGATCTGTCCGCGATACATCGCCGATTCCAGGTCGATGCACCCCCCCTATGCCCGTCCCCCCCCCATCGTTGCCCCCAGCATATGGGCCGAAAACCACCAGGCGGTACACAGATGCCGCTGCCCTGCCCCTGCTCTCGCCTCCTCCTCCGCCTCCTCCTCCTCCTCCTCCGTTTCCTCCTCCTCCTCCTCCTCTTGGGCCTCCTGTTGGCGACGCCCTCGTCGCCACGGCTGGATCTGTTTCGAAGTTGTGGGCAGAGCGCCGCACCCCGGGGGAGGTCCGGGGAGCAGCGGCAGCGTTGCATGCAGATTCAAGTCGGGCACGTCCCTCTACAGGAGGAATATTCCAACATTGTCAACAAAACGTCGTCAGGGGACCATGTCTTGATTCTTTGTGGGCTATGTTTGAGTAGGTTTTACATTTGTTGTTTCATGTTGCCTCCAACATCCGCCTGCAGGGGGACACGCCCGACCTATATATGTAGATTTCCCCAAGAGCACACCCTGCAGGGAATGCTCTTCGGTCGCCGCTCTCGCCCCTGCGCTGGAGGCGCCGAGCGCCCCCTTCTCTTTCTGCTGGGTACCTCGGAGGAGGATGAGAGCTGCACCGATACCGCTGTGCTCGCCCCAGATCTCGGGCGGGCGGCCGTGTCAAGTCGGGCGTGTCTCTCTACGGGAGGAATGTTCAAGAATAGTAAAAAAGTAGCCTGGGAACGATGTTGGGGGACTTTGTACAAGTTCGGAATATGTTTGGAGTATGTTTTATTCTCCGTCCAAAGTCCCCCAGAAAACCTAACGGCAATGGGGGGTAACCCAGGTGGGGAGTGAAGAAAAGGACTCAAGAGGGGTTCTTTGGGGCCCCTCGTGGGCACCAACTGGCTCCCAAAGGGGCCGTGAAGGGCCCCTTTGGGGCTCTCATCTTCACCGCCCATCTGGGTCACCCCTCATTACCTCCCGCCCGAGGATCACGGCTGGACTCTCGTCGAAGTTCGCGTCAGAACGCACGCTGGGAGAGGTCCGAGTGTTAGAACATCCAGAGCTCGCCAGGGACTGGTTTCCTTGTTGCAAACAGCCTGAACCCTCTCGAAACCCGATGAAAACAATGAAAAAAACAAAAACAAAAAGAAAACTCCAGGACGGGCTCCCGGAGGCTTTCGAATGGATTTGGGAGGGTCTGGGAAGGGTTTCCTTTGTTTTTTTTGTGTGTGTGGGGGGGGAACCAGTCCACAGCGAACCTTGGGCTGTCTCAGTCCATCACCACCCACCAAACCACCCCAACCCAACCCGAAGCCCTCAATTTGCCCTCCATTTCCAGTGGGGGGGTGTCGGGGAACGTTGAAAAACACACGGGATCCGTACCCCCCCCGACCCGAAATTCGGGTCAAATTCGGGTCTTCGGGTTGGGTTGGGGTGGTCTGGTAGGTAGTCAGTCCAGTGCAAAGCGGTATCGGTGCGTTCCTGCCTCCCCAGCTCCAGGGCGAGACGCGGCTTCCCGGGATCCACCGAGACGGCGGGCGCGCGCCTTTCGTCCTGTTGCCCCGGCCTCGCGACGCGGCGAGCGCGCTCGAACCTTGAGCATTCTTGCTGGTTCTTGCGAGAATCGTCGACTACAGAGGGCGTGATTTCGCCAGGGTGTGGACTGCGATCTGCGTGCGCTCTTGGGACCGGGGAGGCCATCACGTTGTGTGCGATGATGGCTAGGACGTTGATGATTGTGATGCTTGGACTGTTCGTCAGGACGGCGGCGACGCTGGGAACGATCTCTGTGGAGACGATCTTTGTGCATGTGAAACCGACTGTTCAGATGATTAGTTTCTCGTTACCACCTTTCTCCAGATCACGATCATCCTCCTCTTCCACGTGTCCTTCCCATGTACCAGACGTCGAAGGGTTTGCGCGCCCGCGGAAATTGAATGCGCTACATGGGGAGGGGGTGCACTGTACTTTTTCGGGGGGGGGGTATGGGGCTCGTGGTGCACGGGGGGGTATTGGACGAGAGGATTTGGGACGCTCTGGGGCGGGATCCCTTGGTCAGGAGGTGACTGGGGGTTTGGTCAGACAAGTACACGTGGACGGCATTCTCTCAGAGATACCAGCTTGGGCGAGGTGGCCTGGCCTTGGGAGGGGTTCGAGGGGAACCGCCTCAGGAGAAGATCAAAGGCGCGGTCGAAGACAAGATGGATGACGCGAAGTCCAACATGGAGAAAGTCAAGGTCGATGGTCGTCTCGAAGAGGGGGAGTGGAAGACGAGTGGGGGAAGAGGAGAAGGTTGAGGAGCAGGGGGAGGAGGAGGAGAAGACGAAGGAGGAGCAGGAGGAGGAGGAGGAGGAGGAGGAGGAGGAGGAGGAGGAGGAGGAGGAGGAGGGGACGACCTCCTCCTGCTGTCGCAGAGCAGACCCAGCGCACGGTTTGGACCAGCTGCGCCCCTCGGCGAGCAGGGCAGGCGGAGGATGAGGAACATGCGGAAGCAGGACAGCGAGGACAAGGACGACGACGGCGAGGTCGAGGACGAGGACGCAGACGGACGATGACGACGACGACGTCGAGGAAGGATGCAGGACGAGGAAGGACTTTCCCGACTTTCCCCCCCGGACGACGTCCCTTTCCGCTCCTGCGGGCCTGCTGGCGGAGGGCGCGGGCCTCCTCTCAGGTCTCGTCGCCGTCCTCCAGAACGGTCCCGTCGTACTCCGTCCGCCCATGATCGTAGCCGTGGGGCTGCTTCGTAGGGCCACTTGCCCAGGCGATCGACCGTGGGGCCGTCTCGCGGGGCGTGGGTCTTTCCAGTAGGTGCCGTGGCTGTGCTGCTGGGGTCGGTTGTGGTTGTCTGGTCAGTTGATGTCGAGTCCTGCTCTTCGTGAGTCGTTGTGAGATAGTCAGTGCTGGTTGTCGTCGGCCTTCTCGTGCGGGTTCTCACACGTAGCTGGCGTAGGGGTCCTCGCACTTCTTGGTGTTGCTGGAATCTTGGCTGTGTCGATTGGCGGCTGCTCGTTGGCGTGCTTCCGTCTCGCTCGCACCACGTAGTCTGCTCGCGACCTGGGTGGTGGTGGTGCACACTGTTGTTCGAGCTTCTCCGATATGTAGGGTCGTGCCACGCTTCCGCATGTGTAGCAGTAGTAGCCTTGGTCACGTTTGTGCCATTCCATCTGGTGGGAGTGGTGGGCGCAGCGTCCTTTGAGTGTCAGGGGTGGCTTCTTTGCTGCTGTCGCGTTACTGCATGGCGAAAGTAACCACCACTTTGCTGTCGTGTTGCGTCGTCGTATGGCTGACTGTGCGCAGGTTCTGCATCGCCAGCCTGTCGGAGTCGGTTGAACTTGATGCTGGCTCTGAGCCGCACGTTCGTCGAGGGTGGGTGCTGGTGATCTTCGTAGTTTGGCTTCTTTCCTTAGCTGTGCTCGTTCTTCCCAGCTCAGTGGTGGTCGTCGTTTCATGCAGTCTAGGGTGGCTTGTGTGATGCGCTGTCTGACTAGGTTGCCAGCTGCTCGTACCCACTCGTAGCACCCGAGCTGTGCTGCTGGTAGTGCATGCGCCTCTGCTGCTGCGTCAGCTTGCTCGTCTGCTGCGCGGTTGCCGTGCCATGCCCATTCTGGGATGTCCCTTCGTCGTGCGTCTTCCCAGTCGAGGTGGTTTTGCATATGCCGTATCGTGATGCAGTCGTCGCCTCCTCCCTGTTGGTCGATGGCGTCCTTGACCAATTTCCAGATGTCGCCATTGCCGAAGTGGTACTTCTTGGTTCTGTGCCGCTTGCGTCTCCAGCTCTTCAGCAATACCTCTGACTCTGTCCAGTAGGTGATGGGACCCGCGAATTCCGCAAAACGCTGAGTAGTGCCCAAATCTCTGCTCGGTTGTTCGTCTGCCTTGGTCCTGGTAGTGGTCCTCGCATAGTAGCTCGAATTGTTGTGCCATTCATGCAAGCCCATCCCCATCCGCACCTTCGGTATTGTCGGTCTCCTGACATGGACCCTCCGCTGCCGTCACCGCAGAAGTGTAGTGGTACATCGTCTGCGATCAGATGGCCGTGCTGGATGTCGCCGTCGCAAGTGTGGGACGGTTCCGTTGTGCATGGTGGATGGCAGGTCATGGGTCGTGGCGTGATGCCTCTGAGCCAGAAGGCTGCGTTCGTCTCGATGCCTTCGTTTGCCCGTTCTGTGATGGGTTCGGTCCGTTCGTAGATGATGCGGTGGTAGTCGTCGTCAGGCGTTTCACATTCGCATAAGTTGGGCGTGTCGTAGGCGTCGGCGATGCGCTGCCGTGGCCATGTCCCAGCGCATGCGGCTGCCAAGAGTGCTCCGTGTCATTGGTGATTGCCCCGTCGGTCGAGGTGCTGGAGGTGGCTGATGAGGTCTTGCACGTCCGCACCGTTCTCGAGGCCGCTGCCGTTGTGGTGTTTGCTGGCTTGCCTCCATTGCTGTAGCTCCACTTGGTTGGTCAACGCGTCGATGACGTCGGTCGGGTCCCCGTGCGCGTCCTCCTCCCTGAGTAGCCATCCATCGCCTTGGGGGTCTATCCAGTAGTCGGCGCGCTGGGGGTCCCCGTCTAGGTCTCTCAACGTGATGATGAGTGCGGCGATAATGTCGCGTCTGCGTTGCCATCGTAGTCTTTGTGGTTGTTGCTGCAGTCGGGACGTTATCTGCGGCCAAACTCGTCGTATCCGCTGTCGGGCCTCGTGGGAAGCCGTCCACATATCAAGCCATGTCGTAAATTGGGCTTTGGTGGTGGATAATTCAGGGTCCGTCCCTTCCACTGCGATGAGGGTGGTTAGGCATCTGCCTGGCCAAGCTCGTCGTCGGGCGCGTGCGTAGTGTCGTAGTGTGTGCAGTCTCTCGTTGGGCGATGATCCGTACGCTTTGGTGCCATACAAAAGGGATGCCATGGCCCATTGGCTAGCACCCCTCGGACTCGGTGTCGTCTGGCTCCTCTGAAGCGGGCGCGTACCAACTTCATCCTGGCCCAGGCTTTCTTTTTGCGTGCGTGGTGTGTTCGTCGTTGTGTGCATGTGCGGCTGCCCCTGTCGATGCCGAGGTCGCGTCCTTCGGTGTTGCCGTCGATATGGATGGTGTGGTCTGCCAGGTGTGCCCTTCATGTGGGTGGTGATGAGCGATTTCGCTGCTACTTCCAGTCCTTACTGTTGTAGTGCTTCGTGCAGCGTCTTGGTCGAGTCCACGGTGTCGCGAACCAGGGTACCCTTGGACCCGTACAGCTGGACTCCGATATCGTCGAACCATGTCCTGGGCTGGGTCTTCGTAATTTTGCTGCTCTACTGGCGCATGACGAAGTAGACCAGTGCTCGTGCAAGATTGTTGGAGTGTCGGGCCCCCGCCAATATGGAACGGCTTGCCTATATCGGCTCGCTGTAGCAACCGTTGAGGCGTAGGAATCGTACCGAGAGGTGCATCTGCATGGAGAGTGCGAGGATCATGCTGGGAAAGCCGAGGCGGTTCGCTGCCATCGCGATCTTGCAGAAGCTGAGCGAGTCGTAGAAGCGCTTGATGTCGAGTAGCGTCGTCGCTGCCCGAATGCTGCATGTGTCTGCGACCTCGTCGCCTAGGGCGCGTAGCATGGCTTCTCTCAGCCAGCTGTTGCCTGCGACCGCGGCATCCCATGGTTCCTCAATCTTCTTGGCCCATAGTCGTACTCTGTCTCGATGCATGAGTTCCCAGGTTCGGCAACTCCAAGGTAATAGCGCCAAGGCGCGTTCGCCTCCGTCGGCTAGTGCGCTTGCGCCTTTGGCGGTGGCTGGCTTGGGTTGGAGCATGACGATGACTTGTAGGGCTTGCCACGGCCATGTCACGTCGCGGTCGATGGTGTTGAGCAGGTGGGTTATCTCGTCTCTGCCTGCTGCTGGTAGTCGTCGTGCGTCGCTTGGGTTGAGTCGGTCGGTACCTCGTCCCTTGTCTGGTATGCCCACGATGGCGTCGTCGAGCTGCTCTCTACTCCATGTTGTGGTTGGTGTCGTCAGGGCTTGTTCCCGTAGGTCCCGTAGCAGCTGGGTGTGAGTGATGTGGTCCCCGTGGTCGTCGCTCCAGATGCTGTCGAACGTCGTACGCTTGAGGTCCGTACGCTCTATAGTGGCAGGACGAGGAAGGAGGGACGGAGCAGAGGGAATGAGGGAGGAGTGTGGCCAGGATGGATGCGGGAGGACAGAGGCGTGAGGAGGAAGGGGGGATGATGGAGAGAGCAGAAGGGAGACAGGAGAACGGATGGAGGATTAGGGAGAACGGGAACGGAACAGAAAAGGGGGAATTGAGAAGGGAGGGAGGTGAGGAGGAGGATGAGTTAAGGAGGAGGAGGGGGGGTCGAGGAGGCGACGGAGGAGCACCAGTGCAAACCCAAGGTTTCTCAACGATTTTGGGATCAACCTCCCCCCAAGCTCCCGCTCCACAGACCCTTACACAACAATTCATTTGCATTGAGGGGGGTGCCCCGTTGGGAGACAACGGCTTGAAGAACCATAAGCGTGCCAAAAACACGAGTTTCAGGACTTCAGCGCCGCGAATCAACCTGAGTGTTTTCTCTTGGCGATCCTGAATCGTACCAGAAGACCATTCCTGGGACTTGAACACCGCGAGTCAACGTAACTGGTGCGCTCTGAAAATCCGAAATCATTCCAGAACATGATTTCTGGTACGTGAACAATGGGAGCCAGTGGAACCCTTGCAAATGTTTACGACGAGAGTTCGCAGCGCTATGTCAAGAGTCATCTTTTGAAAATGAATTACCATCAACCCGTGAAGCTCTTGTAATTTGCTATTAGAAAACATGCGCCGAGCTAAGGCGAGAACCACACGTTGAAAAGGAGCCGACTTCAACGCGTAAAACTCAGTATAAAATTTGAGACGAATGCGCGCGGCGTGAAAGCTAGAGCCACATTGTGAAAACCGCCCGACCTCAATCCGTGAAACTGTTTGCACAGGTTTGAAGCGAATGTGCGCAGCGCTGCGGCGAGAGCCACATTTTGAAAACGGCCCGCCCTGAATCCGTGAAGCTCTTGCAAACGTTTCAGACGAACGTGCGCGGCGCTAAGGCGAGAGCCACATGTTGACAACCACCCGACCTTCATTTGTGAAACGGTTGTCAACTTTCAAGCCTCAGGATCAGACATATTACGGAGGTCTCAGGCGAAACGCCCGGCCCGCCCTTCCGACGGGCCTCGGGGTGATACAGGGAGGAGTTCATTATAAGGAAAACGAATGGAGTAGAAGGAGGAGGAGGAGGATAATGAC